CTTCCTGAGAGTACGATGTGGTTAGACAGCCTGCGTGTCTTTTCCCTGTCAAGGTCTTGCAAGGAGGAACAATTCAGGAGAAACTGCCATGCAGTGAAATGAAATGTTGGTAGATTTATTTTCCTGCTTGGTACTCTGCATGCCAAGCCTTCACTGGTTAGTGTAAAGATGAAGCAACAAGAGGGAGATTTGGGTTGGTTTTCCCAGAAATAGCATCTCTGAACAATAAAACTGGGAGAAATTGTGTCACTGTATATATGCAACCAGCAAAATTCAGGCATTCTTTTCAGTTTGGTTGTAAACTGCTGTAGAAGTGGTTTTGTTTGAGCCTCCCAGCCCTAAAGGACATGGGCTTTTCCCCATATAAGGAATGAAAGGGATTGTAAAGCAGCTATTAAAACCTACTGAACTAATTTGTTAAAAGGTTGTCGCATTAGTGAGAATAAAGATCTCATTGTCAGAATTACATCTGCACATATTCAGTTGAATTCTAAAAATAATTCAAATTTTTCTCTTAATTGTGGAAGGTAAATCCTCCTCTCACTCAAGTCTGAAGCATCCTGCAGGTGACATCTCAGCAATAGCACAGGATCCTGATGTCAACTGCAAAAAGCAATTTGAAGACTGAGTGTTGCGGCAGTCACTTATATGAGATCTCTCGTGAAATACATAGAAATCTTGAGAAATCTTGAGAGGAGAGTGGTTTAGAGATGTACAGTTCTCACCTACTGTGTAGTTACAGTTACATTTGTTGGAAATAAATTGTTTCAATAAATTGATTCAAGAAATAGAGTGAAAACCTGTTCAAAAGCAGATGATGTAAGATTTTCCTGCAAATTGTCCGGGATATGTTTGTGTGCCTTTGTTGCACAGAGAGCAAGAGACAGCAGCACAGCTGAGGTAAAAGCCATGAAAGAAATCTTCCCCATTACTAACAAGGGATTCAAATTCCTTACAGAAGGAAGCACTGTTTCTACCACTGCCATCTTCCATCTTAGTCCCTGAAAGACCCAGCAGGAGACTCAGCAAGGATTTGCATTGCCCTGAGTATACGAGGAGGAAAACAGTTTGGGAAGACAGCTTGTGTCTAGAAAAAATCACCTCTAATAAGGTATGGCAAAAGTAATAGCTACCACCATACCACCATGCAGGCTCTGGGAGGTGCTGCAAGAGGGCTGCAGTGTGTGTCAGCCCCTGGCCATGAAGCTCCTTGGCCTTCCTCAGAGCTGAGAAGAGTTTGGAAGGCAGAAGTGGTACTGTGCTTTTGGCTCTGCCCCAAAACTGGCCCATGGACATTACACCACTAATTATTTTCCCATACTGGGCAAATCCTACCCTGAAGGAAAAGCTATAATGTTTGCTTTTCCCAGTGCACTGTACTCCCAGCCAGGGGATCATCTGGGTGTCTTTATACAGTATTATATATTTTGGAGAAATCTGTGCTCTTTACAAAGGCTTTTTTAAGGTTTTGCAGCCACCTTTCCTTGTGCTTTCACGTGTGGTAAAAAGGCTTTATAAGCAGAACATCTTTCCCCATTTCATCACCCCTCATGTCATCGGCAGCGTTTCTGTGGGAGCGCTGCCTCTCACCTGGCTCAGAACGCTCCGGTGGCTGAGAGAAGCCGCCCCACAGGGCAGCCAGGCAGGCTCCCCTCCGCTGTCCCGCTCCCGCCGTGGCTTGTCACTGCACACCGGGCACCGAGGCCGTGCCTTGGCACCCGGGTGTCTGCCTCGGCCCCGCTGTTCCCGCTGAGCGCGGCCCCGAGGGCAGCCCGGGCCGGGCAGTGCGGCCTGGCCGCCTCTAGGTGGGGCAGCCCGGCCACCGGCGGCACCGGCACGGCCCCGGGACGGCGGAGGGACAGCGGGGCGAGCCGGGCCCCGGACAGTGAGCCAGGCCCCGAGACATCCAGGCGGGTCCGGGACAGCGAGCAGGCCCCGGGACAGCGAGCCAGGCCCCGGGACAGCGAGCCAGGCCCCGAGACAGCCAGGCGGGTCCGGGACAGCGAGCCGGGTCCGGGACAGCGAGCCGGGTCCGGGACAGCGAGCCGGGTCCGGGACAGCGGGTCGAGGTTCTCCGGTGGGAGCGGGGAGAGGCAGCTGTGGGCACGGCGGGTTTGGTGTTTCCCTGCTGAAATGTAATACACGACTGAGAAACGCTGGATCCGTGTGTTATGGTATATCACGGTGCTTGTATTAAGGCTTGTGGCCGCTTCGAGACGGCGAGGAATGGGAGGTGCGGAGCTCTGTCAAGGATGGAGGCAAGGTGGGAACCGTGCCCCCCTCAGACATCCCCTGCCTCTCCACTGCGTCCATCACGTCCACTCCGAGCCTTTTCCAGAGAGGCTTTCCCGGTTTCTCCGTCGCACGCTCGGAGGGGGCCCTGTGCCCCCTCACGCCGTGAACGGGCAGCCCGAGCCCTCCGGTGCTGCCCCGGCGGAGCGCGGCCGGAGCGGGGCCAGCCCCACGCCTGAGCGGCCAGAGCAGCCGCTCTCCCCCATCCCTCCATCCATGCCCCCCTCCCTCTCTCCCTCCCTCCCGCTGCCCGTCTCCCCGGCGGGGCTGGGGGCCGGGCGGGCCGAGACCACCCAGCTGGCCCCCGGCCCCGGCACGCCGGCCCTGCCCGGCCTCCCTCCGCTCCGCCGCTCTCTGCGCCTTACCCCACTCTCCTCCCGGCCTCTTCCCCAGGCATTTCCTCCCCCAAACAGAGGTTTGCTGATCAGAAAGAGGGTGCAGAGGTCGCCTGAGTAGGCGGAGGAGGGAAAAAAATTAAGAAAGAAAAAGAGAAAAGGAGGTGGGGGGGGAAGGAAGAGCTGAGCAAATTAGCAAAGAATTACAGCCACTGTAAACCATATGCAGGTATTTCAACAGCTTGGGCACAAAACTCTGTAAATCAGAGCCGTGCCGGAGCATGGCGGGAGGCTGCACCGGGAGAGGCTCGCTCTCCCCTCCGCCGCTCGCCGGTCCCCGGCATCGCCCGCTTTGCCTCTCTCGGGGCGCTCTGCCGCACCTGAGCAGAGCCCGACAAAAGAAACTCCCTGTCCGGAGTTCCCGTCTCCGCCGTGCCCCGAACCCCCTTCTGGCCGCCAATCCAAACCACGTCTCCCACAACCCGCGCTCCCAGCCCTTCCTCTGTCCCCGTGTTTGAGGCCGCTCATCTCTTCTGACATCCCAAATTTCATCTCTTGGCTGTTAAGGACCCTTTAAAACACTCGTGCAGGACACCCTTCCTAGAGCCCTAAGTATCTCCCTACGTATATTCTCGTAAGTGGATTTCTCGCAGCTTCCCTAGATGCTTCTCGTTTACCTCTAGCTCTTAAAAAAATTTCCCTTTGGATATTTCTTTAGTGTATCGTGATACCGAAGTCTTTGGTGGCAAAGCGATGGCTTTCCTGGGGAAAAAAATAGGTAAAAGGTGAGTCCAAGCAAGGTTATTAAAATGGTCTGAGTTTGTTCAGAAAGGTAAAGACAGTTCCCGCTTAGTCAGGCAGAGGTACTCTCCAGCTTTGCGCTGTGTATGAAAGTAGAATTATTTATTTTATGGATTTATTTTTTATGTAAAAATTATGATTGAAAACATATAATTCGTGCCAGAGTCGTTGAAAATCAATTATTGTCACTTCGTAGTCGACTGCAAACCGACGTTCATCTCCGTGAGATCAAGTAGGGAGGTGTTGGCGTGGCCACACGCCTGTGGAGAAGCCCGGTGACACCCTGAGAATTTAGTTCATGGAGCAAAGCGAGTTTGCGGATGTCTTTTTTCTGTGTTTTATCTCCTTACGTTGCCGCGTTCACCCAGCACCAAACACCCATGTTCGTGCAGCACAGGCGTTTCATTTCTCGTGTACCTGCTTGATACCCTTGCCGGTATTTTTATTAGCTCCGAGAAAGCCAATAATATTTGAAAAAGAGAAAAGCGTGATGCTTGGGGGTATATTGGCAGCGAGTTTCAGATATACAATTCACGTGCGTGTAATAGTTTCCAAAGTCTTCCCGTGCAGGGCCGTTTTCTTTTAGGGAAAGCATCGTTTAGGGAAAAGAGTTTAATCTGCGAGAAATTGCTTTCCTAATACGGGCTTTATAAGCCCCATGGACAGAAGACCGTACTTAACATAAACCCGACCATGTTTTTAAACAAACGCAGTAGTGAAAAGCGCATTTTCCAAAACCGGCCGAGGCTGATTTGCGTTTACCCCGACAGTGCGGGCGGCCGGGGGCTGGGGTGCTCATCCCTCCGCTCGTACTGCCCCGCACGGGCACGGCGTCTCTGCCCCGGACAGACTCGGAACAGGCGAGTTTCGACGCCCTTCCCCAGCGGCGCGCAGCAATGCCCGCCACACTGCGGCGTCGGTCCCGTCCCCGCCACTTCTCCCGTCGGGACCGAACCTTTCCCCCGCTCCAGGCTGCAGCGCTCTGCTGAGGCGCGGCGAGGGGGGAAACATCTCTGCAGTGCGATCCCGCACTGTTCAGGTGGAAGCCGCCGCTTTCTGCCTCGGAGAGGGACCGTCCCTTCGAGGGTCTCCTCGGCCGGGGAGGCGGGGGCGCCCCGCGGGCCGCAAGGGGTTAAAGGGACGGCGCGCCCCGGCGCGCGCCCCGCGGAGCCGCATCGGCCCGCGGCGGGAGCCAATGGGCGGGCGGGGCGCGCGGGGGCTGCCCAATGGGAAGGCGCGGGGCCGGCGCTGTCGGGCGGCCGTGAGGGATGGCAGCGCCGCCGGCAGAAAAAGCGGAGGGCGGGCGGGGGCGGGACAGAGCGGGGCGGAGGCAGCGCCCGTGCCGCCAGGGACCCGCGGCGGCGCCCGGCGCAGCGCGGTGGCCCCGGTGGCCCCGGCCCTATGGGCGGGCGGGCCGGCAGTGGCGCAGAGAGGCTGCTCCCGCTGGCGCCCGCCCTCCCGGCGGCAGACCAGGGCCCGGCACCGGCGCGGCGGCGGCCGGCGATGCGGTCGCCCAGCTGAAGACGCGGCACGGTCCGCTGCTCGTCCGCGGGGCTTGCCCGTCGCCGGGCCATGTCCGTCCGCGGCGGCAACGCCCTGACGCCTTTTTCCATCCAAGCCATCCTCAACAAGAAGGAGGAGCGCGCCCGCCACGCGGCGGGGCGGCCGCCGCTCCCGGGGGCGGCCGGCGGCTGGCGGCTGTGCGGCGCCGCCGAGGACCCGCCGCTGCCCGCGCTCGTCGCCCGCGCCCCGGCCCCGCGGGCGCCGGCGGGCTGGGACTCGGACTCCGCGCTCAGCGAGGACCCCGAGGGCGAGCGGCGCTCCGAGGAGGAGGGCGCCGGTGGCAGCGCCCGCCCCGCAGAAGCCACGGGCGGGGGGCGGCCGGCGGAGGAGGAGGCGCAGCCCCCGGAGGCGGCGGAGCGGGACACCACCGGCCTCAGCGACAGCGAGATGTCGGCCGCCGTCTCAGGTAGGGGCGGCCCCGATGGCGGCTCCTCCGTGCCCGCGCGAGGAGGGCCCCGGAGGGCTGGGAATGGGAGGTGTCCGTGGCTCTCGCCGGCTCCCCGGAGTTGTGCGACAGGCTCGATTGTGCCGGGGGGGAGAGAAAACCCGAAACGCGTCCCGCGGGGCGAGGGAGGGCGGATCGGGGAGGGCCTTTGGCCCGGCGGAGCCCGCAGCTCGCCAGGGCGCCCGGCGCTTAAAGGAGAGCGAGAAGCCCTGGCTGCCGCCGGCGGCTGTCCCGGCGACGGGGCGGGCAGCGGCTCGGAGGGCTCTCCGCTCGCCCCGTCGCTGCGGACCGGCCGCATGGGGAGGGCCTGGCCGCCAGTGCGCGGGTGCCGCTGTCCCGGTGCCTGCCTGCCCTGACCGCCGTGCTCTCGCCCTGCCCGCAGATCGCAGCCCTCCGGAGGAAGAGGACGGAGCGGGCAAGTGCGGGAATCTGCTGCCGGGGGAGGAGGAGGCGGCGGCGGCTCCGAAGCCGCGGAAGAAGCGCTCCCGCGCAGCCTTTTCCCACGCGCAGGTCTTCGAGCTGGAGCGGCGCTTCAACCACCAGCGCTACTTGTCGGGGCCCGAGCGGGCCGACCTGGCCGCCTCGCTGAAGCTCACCGAGACGCAGGTGAAGATCTGGTTTCAGAACCGGCGCTACAAGACCAAGCGGCGGCAGATGGCCGCCGACCTCCTGGCCGCCGCCCCCGCCGCCAAGAAGGTGGCCGTCAAGGTGCTGGTGCGCGACGACCAGAGACAGTACCACCCTGGCGAGGTGCTGCGGCCGCCCTCGCTGCTCTCCCTGCAGCCATCCTACTACTACCCCTACTACTGCCTTCCCGGGTGGGCTCTGTCCACCTGCGCCGCAGCTGCCGGCACGCAGTGAGAGGCACACACACACAACCCCCGGCCCCGACACCCCCAGCATACACACTGGCAGCCAGGAAACCCATCTTCCCTCTGCCACCCCCCCATCCATCAATCCGTTCGCTCAGCTTCTCGAGTCCAGAGCCCCAGCTGCAGCTCTCAGTGCCTCGGACAGTATTTATTATTATTTTATTGTTATTTTTATTATTAATATTTTTGGATGGTTCCTCACCCTCTCCTCTTTCAACGTAGGACTTCTTGGCCACCCCCACCCTGACCCTCACCCTGTCCCCATCCTGCCAGCCGAGGACTCTTGCGATTCGGCACAACTTGTTCATGGTATCCATGTTGTCAGTGTATTTGGTGTAGACTTTTTGTTTGTTTGTTTTATTTTGCTTCGGATGGGTAGAGACTCGATCTTGTGTGGAGAAAAAGAGAGAGAAAACAAAGGAGAGGAAAAAAAAATACAACCCGCAAAACAAATTGCAACTCAAAAGAGGAGATCAAGGACTCCCTCAGTGGATTGTAAGGAAGATTATTTTTGTCGTCTGAGTCCTTGGTCTTCCAACTTGTTGCAAACTGAGTGTGCCTTGTATGGTGCTGAATGTATGGAAGCCTCTTTCAGGTCCCCCTGCTCTTGTTGCCCATGTTATTCCTGTACTCCATGATCCCTGGCAAAGGATAAATATGTCACAAAAGGGTGAGATTTATATCAAAACTCTGACTTCTTGTTTTCCTTTTTTTCCTGAGATCTTTCCGTGTTCGGGGAGGGAGGAGTTATGGATTTTTCGCACTTTCCAGATGTATTAAAGTTGTTATTTTTATATTCAATGTGAATATTTCTAGTCAGGCTTTTTAAGAAATCGATGTAACAGGAAACTTTAATACCATCAGTGCCTTTTACAATTCTTCTGCAGAGCTCTCCTCCAGGGGTGGGGGTTTCTGATCTGCTCAGCAATGTAATTACAGTTTCTTTCTTCCAAGGTAACTCGTTGCTTTTTTTTCCCTTCTTTTTTTTTCCCCCTCCATTTCCCTTTTAATGGCACTGTGCACTCAACTAGATTATTTACTTCAAATGAATTGTGAATGTTTGTAAGCTACCCGCTGTACTTGTTTTGTTGTTTGTTTGGGTTTTTTTTTAATTTATAAACTTTAGTTTAACACTTACCCCTGCTGCTTCTGTCGTTTCTGAGAGCAGACACGGATTTCCCCAGTGATATTTTCCCCCGCAGCAGACCTCAGGCCGTAGCTCAGACCATGTCCCTCCTTTTCCCACTCGCCCGGTGAGGATCGTAGGGCCTGGCAGATATCTGGGCCGCCTTGCCCGGCTGCACCGGTCAGCGCCGATGCCCGTTCCCTCTGCGGAAGACGGAGGGGACCCAGGAGCTCTGGCCGGGCGCCGTAATCACTTCTTTGGTAGCCCCTGTCCCAGATGGAGCGATCCCCCATCTGCCGGAGAGCCGGGATCGGTGGCTGTGTTTACGGGTGCTGGTAGCGGTGGGGACGCGGGGCAGTCGGCGGAGCCACTCGAGCTGCTTTTCCCGGTCGGTGGCAGCCTCTCCGTGCGGGCTGCGGCCCCTCTACCGCGGTGAAACCCTGGCGGATCCTGGGCGAGTGCGGGGCTCGGTGCTTTGTTTTCTCTCTGCCGGAGCCGGGCAGAGACACCGGGGCGCGGGCTCAGGATTGGGCTGCAAGAGGGGCCTTCGGCGGAACTGCCCAGGCCGTCCGTATCCCGACACTGCCGCGATAGCCGCTTGGGGCAGCCTCCCGCCTTGGACTGAATCTCCTCCAAGCCTCTCTGAGAGCCCGGGCCCTCGGCGCGGTGCTGGCGGCTCTTCCCCGCCGTCGGCTGCTGTCCTTGGGTGTCTCCCCGGGGCCAGCGCTGGCCGAAGGGGAGGGCAGGCTCACCTGGGGTGGGCAGCTTCCCCCGGGGACCGGGCAGCGGCGCTGGCAGGGACGGGACCCGGTGATGGCTGCAGCTGTTTATCAGCGCCGCAGGAGCCCTGCCCGGACCAGGCTCATAGGCGGCCGCATTGCCTGGGCGCTGCTGACTCCTCATCACCGCCGGCTTGTTTCCTTTCCTGCCGGTTCGCACGGGCATTCGCTGCGGCTCCCGGGCACCGAGTGGCTTGCCCTATCGCTTCCCGGCCGCTGTGCCTGCAAGCCGCCCCAGGATGCCGCCGGGCTGTTTCCCTGTCAGCCCCTTGGTCCGGCCCTCCTTGCTGTCATTTCGCTTTGCCCGGGCTAGGGCACCCCGCAGGTTAGATGTCCCCACGCTGCCACCTCCAGCAGCACTCGGCAGCACGGGCTGGGGACGAGCTCTCTGTTCCCAAAGCCGACAGCCGCCGTGACACTGGAGGAAATGCTTTGGGTTTGGTTTTGCTCTGCCGGGCGTGTCGGCGGTCCTCCTGCCCAAAGGAGTGCTCCAGATGCAGCAGTCCGTTGGCAGATACGGGAGGACTGACATTTATTTGGCCCGATCCGAAGCTCTTGTCTCTTTCTTCTTATTATTATTTTTTTTATAACTATTTCCCTCCGACATTCCCAACACTTTCCTTCCTGGAAAACACGAAACTTTTGGACAGCAGAATCTGGACCCCCGTGCACTTTAAGGAGGTACAGAGGTGCCACTGCTGCCCCGCGGTTTGGTTTTTCCTGGCCCCTGGGGACGTTTCTCTGCCTGCAGCCCCGTACAAGGCACCGAGCCGCTGACTCCCATCTCAGGTTCGATGGTACAGCCAAGCTTGATCCCTCCTGTATTTGTCCCACTGCAGACAGTGTGGGATGCTAAACAGAAAAGCAGAGTGTGGGGACTGCAGAGCCCCCTCCTCACAGCCTTTGCTGGGAGGTAGGTTTTACACAGCAGAGGGATGTTACCTGACGTGTCTGGGATGATGCATCTTTAGATTTTAGTGCTGCAGATAAAGGGAAGTTGGTTCGTTTTGACTTGTTTTGGATTATTTTGTGTGAAATATGGCACAGTGATGCAAACTGAAAGGTACAGCTCACACCAGCGGAGGTTTTGTTCCCGGCGGGGGTGGCTTCTGGCAAAGTCGGCTGTGGTTCTATCGGGCCCCCTGTTCGAGGGAGCAGCCTATCTCTAAGCCTAATTTTTTTTCGCCCCGCTTTGGTCACTGTGTTGTATTATTTTGATTTGTGCTTGCTAACAAATGTTGTGCTCTAGGGAATCTCCTGATATAAAAGGGAAGTGACTGTTATTAGAGATTCCTTGGGTTGTAACACTGGGTAACAGACTCAAAATGAAGCCTCAAGCTAATTTCCTATTAACCAGGTAAAACTAACATGCATTTTACTCGAGATAGAAGTTGCTGGAAAAGATGATCCAAATAAAGTTGCCCGGAATTTTAGTATTGGTGTTTAATATCGAACATTTATGCATCGACAGTGTCCTTTTTTGACGTTGACAAAATCTGATACTTGAGAAACATCAATATGTGATACTGGGAAAATTTAATCGATAATTTAATGCAGTTTTTCTGCAATTTGAGGCATTTCTATTCCTGTTTTTTCTTAATAATTTTGATTTTTGAAATATAAAGCAAACTCTCTGCATCCTTTATATTTTCTTAATGGCAAAATCTCCAGTAACACGCATGTAACTGTACTGAGGCCGAAGGAATTACTCCGTATTTTCGGCTCTTAAATTATCAGCAGAACCTGGGCTCTAATACGCTGTCTTCACACACCCTCAGACACACATTCAGCTCATCAGCACATACACGGCTGCTACGTAAAAATAATCTCCCTAACGATGTGTCCCAATTTCGGTCTCTCTCACAAACCCCGAACCGTACAGGGGCCGTGGGAATCATTTTCCATCTGACCGTGGGCAAGCTGTAGTCTTAAAAAAAAATTCTTGCAAAGACAAGGGGGAGAAGGGGGAAATACCGCAGCTCCAAGAAATTCGATTGTTGAAATGTAATGTAAATTGTGTATATCTTTGCATATGTCTCCACTGGCGCTTGTGTTTGTGTATTGAACAGTCGCACAGGCGCAGAGTCCAGCTCTGCAGACGGGAGGCTGCCTATATTTAGCTACCTCCCGCTCGCTCGCAGGGTAATAAAACAGGAAACCACGTTGATTTGCCCCCCTCTCTGCACACACACACACACACACACACACAAACACACTCAGGTAGAAATCAGCGACACTTTCCCGGCAGGAGGAGAAGCGGCAGAAGACCCCGGGGCACAGCAGCCCCCCCGGCCGTGCAGCACCTGCCCAGCCTCCCAGGGGCTCCCGGGAGCAGGGGCCAAAGGTGGCCCGAGGTTAAGGGCCTCTCCCCGGCAGGCCTTGGCAGGCTTTTTCCGCTCCGCTGCTGCTGTCAGTGGGACGGCGACGAGCCCCGAGGGCCGCGGGGAATCCCGGCCGCCTTTCCAGCGGCTCTCCCGGGGCTGCAGCGCCAAACCACCGAAGCAGCCGCTCCTCTGGAACGGCTCCGAAGACAAGGACAGGGGTGCTGGAAAGCCACACCCGCGGGCTCTGGAGATCCAGGGCGCTGCCAGTGGCGTCTCCATCGAGCAGCCTGGCTATTTCCGAGGTGATGGGAGACATAAAGGGCAGGTCTTTTTGTCCCGGCCACATAATCAAGGATATTACCTCTCCCAACCTTTCTGAAAGCCGCAACAAAGTGGACTGTTCCTTCGCGTTGTCCGCTGCTGCGGGAAACAGCGTGATTAACCGGGGAGCAAGGTGAACCAGGGAGCAAATGGCGCGTTTCCCAACGGGGTGTCACGGCGGTCAGTGCCAGGACACCGCACCGCTCCGGGACAGGCAGCACACCCTCCTCCGGGGCCGAGCAGAGGCTCGGGTGGGCCGGCAGGCTCTGCCCGGGGCTCCCGGCCCCGCTGGGGCTGCCGCCTGCGGAACCCGCTCCGCTCCGCGCCCGGGCAGCCGCGCTGCCCCGCACCGGCGCTGGCCCGCTCATTGCCGAGGGACCGCGGGACAGGGCGGACTCCTACCCACAGGTGGGGCTTGCCATTTTCCTAGAACACGTTT